CTTTCCCTGGAAATCAACCTGCTAAGCCATCATCCGATATTAGCGACCAGCCTCTTGATTTCCACCCAAAATCTACATTTGGCCATGATCAACAAAAACAATTTAGCTATAGTGATATTGGTACTGCAGCAAATGAAGTAGTGATGGATCAAAATGTAGTCGGTGCATCTGTTCATGCTTGGAATTCAACGACTGTTCCAGTTGCTACCTTCCCTCCAATTCCCTTAGCTCCATCTGGAACGCAGGTGACACATCATTTCCTTAAAGTACTGATTAAAAGCTAAATTTATTTTAATATTTCTATTATCTCTTTGCAGTATGATCCTTCATTTGCATCACAAGCTTCCCACCTTGTTCACTCTACACCTGCTTTTGGTGGAATTGCTCCAAGCTTTCAGGCTCCTGTTTCTCCTATCAGTGCACCATTTGGTCTTGCTGTTGGGGCACCTATTCACACTACTGATTTTCCTGGAGATGGGAATGCCTCTTTTAATATTTCTGAACGGCCAAGAAAGGTTAAGGATATTTCCTTGCTTACATGCAAATTAATCTATATGTGATGTGTAGATCTTCTTCATAGGGATGTTGTTAATATAATGCAGGCAGCAGTTCCTAATTGGCTGAGAGAAGAATTAATTAAGAAGAAATCTGCTATTGCAAATACCAGTGTGTTACATTCTGGGACAGTTCAAATGGAAGATGCTGATATTACTTTTAGAAAAACAGATCAAGCTGACAATCAGAGCTTAGATTCAAGGAGGTCTACTGAGGATGATGATGATGATGAGGTCCAGCCTCCTTGTTGGCATTTTTTGCTCTGCTTGCAGCATTTTTTCACTAGCTTATAAATAAAAAAACCAAATTTTTAAAGAAATTTGATTAATGGCGGCCCTGTTTTGACAGAAGTTATATTCTTTTTAATTGTCTATCCAGATTATATGTAATTATTTTTTATATAAAACTTAACAGGGTTCGGTTAGTTTATAATGTCTGGAAGAAAGTTTAACCATGTGGTTCCCTATGGGTACATGATCGTTGTCCTCTTTTTTCCTCAAGTTGTACAAACATTACTTCTGTTAATTCCGTTATGGTTATGAAAACATATGTGGCCTTGAAGCACGTATAGTTTTCCATTTTGATTGATTTTTGAAAATTAGATGATGAATCATCATAAGAATTTGAAAGGTCTGTTATATGTATATTTGTAGTCCAAGTTTCATTTTGGAAAAAGTTGACTATGTGTCTTACGTTTTCCAATTAGTATAGTGATGTATGTAATTTTTATTAGAAAGCGCTCTTGATCATTATGATTAGCAAATTGCTTATTGATCTTAAGAATTTTTTTTTTTACAATTTTTTTTAATCCTTAGTGCAACTTGGTCCCTACACCGCTCTTCTTCTCTTCATTGCATTAGTTTGCCCAACAGTTAGCAAGTACTGGCTATCATTGGTGACATTAAGAACTTATTGGCCGATAAGTAGCGATAGGAAGGTGAAATGGTCTTTTCACGCTTGTACTGGAAATTTATACAAAGCTTTTCTCTGAACAGTTAACAATGATGAACACTGATACTTCTGCTATTGTGAAAGCTTAGCAACCAAAAGTGGAGGTTGTATATAAGTTTAACAATGTAATATATATCTTTTTTTGTTAGGATGAAGTTGAAGCAGCAAGATCAGCTGCAATCAACCAAGAAATAAAGCGTGTTCTCACTGAAGTTCTTTTGAAGGTTTCCACTCCAGATCCTACTTGTACTGTTGCATTTAGTTCCACTTTTTGGCACTTACATATACATATCCTTATTAATAGGTCACAGATGAACTTTTTGATGAAATCGCAACCAAAGTTCTTGATGAAGTTGAACCAACTGCAGATGGTGAGAAGTTTATAAAGTACTTGTACCTTGAAATATATTTTGTGATCTCTGACTCTTGCTTATCTCTTGCAGTTGTTGAGAGTACCGGTATTGGTAACCCTAAATTATCTCCTCCCCCGGCCATTTCAACTCCTAGGGCATTCTCTAAAATCCCAGTTCCTGTGAGAGCTGACGGTAAAAAAGTTAATGATGCTAGTGACAATTCCAGTCCTAACCGTGCTGGAGGAGATTTGTTGGGTTTGGGTAATTATGGTTCAGATGCTTCAGATGATGATGATGATGAAAGTCAAGGGGCTCAGTCTAGGAAGCTAGGCGGTACTTCACATCATCTAGAAACAGCCTCTAGATCTTTTGAACATGCCGAGAAGGATGTTGAGACAGTAAAGGAACCGTTGATCGTTGATGCTAATGGTGATGTGCAGAAGGAAAGAATGACATCTTACTCGGAATCAAGTGAAAGGAAAAAGGCTGTTCGAGTTTCTGAAACTTCTGAGAAGACCAGTTCCACGAACAGTGAAAGGCCCAGAGAATTACAACAAGATGCAAAGTATCTTAAATCAAAAGCCACTGCTGGTAATGAGGGCGGAAGAAGACATGAATCTGTGAATGGTGACAGAACCACCAGTGGTGAATTCCGGGAAGGGGTGGCCCATTTATCTAGTGCAAAAAAAAAACCAGAAAGAATTTTGAATGATAGCGGCCTTATTAAGGAAGTAGCGCCTGGTTCCCACAGGAAGGATAATGAAAATAATAAGCATGGAGATAAACAAAATGAAAAAATTAGCAAAAGTGATAAGATGTTTGAGCGGGGTGGTGACAGGAATGTTAAACAAGGAAGCGGTGAGAAGGATACCCATTCCAAAAGTAGCTCTAGGAATGTGATTATAAAAGATAGTAAAAAAGAGGGTTTGAAAGATAAAGGAGAAAAAAAAAAAGATTATGATAGGAGAAGTGAACGCAAAAGAGATAAAAAAGATGAGAAGGAAGAAAAATCAGAATTTGTAAGAGAAACATTGAGGCGCAACTTTAGGTCCAAATCTCCTGTTAGAAAGCATGCAATGGATAACTCTTTGAGCGGTCGTGGCAGTGCTTCAAGTGAGGAATCTTCTGATAACTCACGAAAGAGGTATGCTAAATTAAAAATCAATTATATTTTGCTTATTGGATTGAACTGGATAGGTTAGCTATTTGCTGCAGAAAGTTGCAATTACGTGGAACTAGCTTGTCAGCATCACCAAGGTCTAAAAAAAGGTGTGATAGATTTATGCTTTTAGCCATTGTTCTCGTTTTAGCTGAATGATTTTCTTGCTCCCTAATTCTCAATCTGTTTTGTGTTTGGAGAATTTTGTTAAGCATGCTTTTTCTAGGTTTCTTAAGAGCAAGTTATGTCAATTTTCAGTGCTTTACAATTCCTTGTTTCAGTTAGCTCATCATCAGTGGCACATGTTTTCAAAATGTCTTGTGTGTTTTGATTATCTACTGTTCTTTTAATTGCATTAACCATGCTTATTTGCTTTTGTTTAGGAATCATCTGATATGCTAGTGTTACAATTGTCTAAAAATATAATACATTGGTACAGAAGTGCAACAACTGATATAGTTCATGTAATAAGTTGATTAGTACTGGGAGTACAAAATCTGGAAGATTTCTTGATATTTTATTAGAGTTTATTTTCTCATTGAATTAATTTTTATCATATCATCATTTCTATAGCTGCTTCATTTAGCTTATGCCAGCTTGTGTAGGAAATTCTTCTTCATCATTTTGAATTTTTTAAGCATTTCATCACAATCACTGTTATAAAGCGCATATCAGCAATGCCGAACATTTCTTATTCACATGGTTTTGTAACATAGCCAATCCCATTGATTTATTAGTGATGCAGCGCTTAATGAAGCTGCATTTCAAATCATATTTGTGAACAACCTACATACTGCAGTTTCAATTCATAATTTTCCAAGGCTCCAGAGATTTTTTGGACCATGCATGGTGTCTAAAATTACGGGGAGTTCAGATTCTGTCAAAAGCTTCTTTAACTTTCAAATGTCTATTACCCTTTATAACCTCTGCACTCATTGCAGATCTATCTCTATTATGAAATTCTTCATTAAATTTGATGACGTTGGTATCTTTTTTGTAGTCAAAGTTTTCATTGAGGTTTGGGATGAAATTCTTTTCTTTGTACTTATTTGTTATTTACTTCAAAATCATCGAAGCAACAAACTGAACTGCCATGAAAATAAGAGGCTAATTTTGAACTTCTACCATCCTCTACAAAGTGACCCTTCTATTCCAACTAAACCTCTCTCTGTTTGCTACCTATTGCAAAATATGGTGCTCTTTTTTTTCAGACATGGAAGTGCATAACCCTTTAGTCATGTTTATCTGAAATAATTAGCATAATAAGGGATTCTAGACGAGAAAGCAAGTTAAAAAAAAAAGTTTGAGCTACTGACTAATCTGAAAACTCCCTGATTTTATTTTTAAACCTACTCAGTATCATTTTTTCTTCACTTTTTTGCGTTCAAACCTCAAACATTGAATGCTATACTTGATGACAGCCCTCAGAAAAACAAGGGACTCGTTTTGGCAATGCTTTATGTTATCTGTTTCTGTCTTGAACATTGGAAACAAATTGCGGGTATTTGGTTTCAATGCTTTGAGAAAAAAAATTAATGCTTTATAAAAAATTAAAAAGGAACTTTGTTATAGCGGTGACTTAGATGGGAAGTGGTTGTGAATTTTTGTTGTTTTGTTTAATAAATAAATAAGCTCATTATTTTATTAATTCTCTCTTTAGATGGTCAATATTTACTAATACCTGATATTCTTTGAAATTACACTTGCCTCTCTTATTGTTAGATATTACATTACTTGTTTACCTCAATTTGTTTTATGAAATTGCATTTCTCACCTCTTTTGTTAAATCTCATTACATTTTAACCCCAATCCATTAATCCAAAGCTTTATAAATTTGATTTAAGTATAATTTCAAAAGTGCAGGGGAGGCATATCTAATATTGACTATCTACATGAGAAGTGTAATTAACTATTGATTATATTTTAAATATGATTAGCTTATCATATTATAAAATACTTATTTTAATCTTTCAGTCGCTTGTATAGTGTCAACTCCATTTCCTACCTGATAATTAAAGCTCTCACAACGTTTTAGATACTAATTTTACCAGATAGTAATTCTATTCATTCTGCAGTAGTAACAGTATAACACAACATAACACAGCACGACACAACAGTTCCAAATGGGGTCGAAAGCTCTTTTAGTTTGGTTTTTCCATGCCTTTGCTTTACTTTCCAACTTAGGTGTTTTTATAATATGCTGTGATTTTTTTTTTTAAAAAGGCCTGAAAAATATGTCTGGTGTTTGCAGCAAATAACCTCTTACATTTGGTTATGCATCCTACTTTTAGACTCTTGGCATTTTTGTGAATGCTGTAATCTTTTTATTTTATTTATTTATTTATGAAAATATGACACTAAATAGGGCGCAATGGAGAAAAAGTATTCATGTAGCCGACCCCACGTTGTGGGATTAAGGCTTTATTGTTGTTGTTGTATTTATTTACTTATGAAGTAACCCACCGTATTGGCTATGCTAAAGTAACACTTGAATATTTTATTTTTTTGTCGCTTTTCATGTTGCAAGTTTTAGACGCGTATCATTTTCCATTTAAGTGTTAACATTTTAGGGGATGTTATCAAAGTATTTGCACTTGAAGGGAATGTTTTGGGCTCCTTCCTGGTACATTCATTAGAAATACGTTGATACTTCTATTTAAAATATTTTACAGAAAACCAAAAATTTAAAAAAATTTAAATTGTGATTATTCTAATAGGTGAATTCTGAGCTGCTATCTGTTTTGTATACTGCCCCTTTTAAGCCAACTAAATCTAATAGGCTACCTCTTTCCATTTGCCACCTCTTGCAAAAATGGCTCTCTAGCTATATTCTTAAATGGATTTTCATATGCAGCTAGTATTGTTTATTATAAGTAGTCTAATAAGGGTTTTTAACTTAAAATTGCTTGTTAAATATTAAATATACGAGCTACTGCCAAATTTAAAAGCTCATTGGATTTTATTTTGAAAGCGTTCTAAATAGCATTGTTACATTGTCCCTTCTTCTTTTGGTTCCAAACCTCACGGGATCATTGAAGTCCTTGTGGATGCCACTAATAGAAGTGTTAGTTTTCTTGCTCGTTTTCAGGATTTTTTGTGCCTCTGCTTCAACTTCCTAATTTTGGATTTAGACAATATGTTGGGCTTACATTATAAATAAATTTAAACATCATACACCCAATGTTTGCGGAAAATAGACTCTTAGAGTTGGTTATGAACCCTTAAATTAGAGCGACGAAAGCAACACAAAATTTTTTTATTTATTCATTTCTTAATTTGCTGTCCTATACCCTTTGATAGCATATACTGTCCAAGATATTATCACTTCAAGGAAATGCTCTCTTACTAATGCAATCCAAGAGGAGTGATACAATTAAAGCACAAAAATATTACAATCCACATGCTACTAACTCTCAATTGTAATAAGAAATATTCGGCTTTAATGAAAATTGAATACAACAACAATATGCTTCATTCACTCCAAACCATTTTATTATGGTTGTCAAAATTTGAACTTATAAGAAAACATTGAGAACAAATTTAAAATTCCAGCAATGACCGAAATTCTCAGTATAAAAGTAATCTAACAGTAATCTCACTTGATAAAAAATCAATCGCACACACTGTAGCTGTTTTATAACTTATTAGCAATAAAAAATGCTTAAAGTATTTATTTTCGATAGCATATGTAAGCTTTTCTATGATGATATTCTTCTTGTGGATAGGAACAGAGAGAGAGAGGGCAAGAAAAACTTAAATTATCGAGGTCAACTTTAGAGTTTAAACATTTTTGTTTGAATAGATCTAAACTGAATGCATGAAATATAATTTTAGTAGCAATAGATCTAGTGGCGGGGTTGTCATAATGGGTAATCAAGTCATTGAAAGGAGTGAACGTTTTAAGTATCTCTGGTCTATTGTTCAAAGTGATGGTGATATGGATGGGGATGTGTTAGTAGAATTCAAGTTGGATGGTTGAATTAGAGGAATGCATTAGGCCTATTGTGTGATAGAAAAGTACCACATAGACTTAAAAGAAAATTTAATAAGATAATGGAAAGACATTCAGTGCTTTATGCCGCATAAAGTTTACTTGTAAAAGAGAATCATAAAATTGAGTTAAGTGTTGCCGTGATGAGAATGCTCAGGTGGATGAGTGGCTTTACACTTGAAGACAAAATGCGAAATGAATATATCTATGGAAGGGTTGGAATAGCTCTAGTGATAGACAATATTTGAGAGAGTCACTTTTGATGATTTGGCACATTAAATGCAACCATCTGATGACTCTGTTAGGAGAGTAGGTGTTTTAGATTTGACTTATGTTAAGAAAGGTAGAGGGAGACCTAGAAAGACTTGGGCATGTTGTATTAAAAATGGTCTTTATTTATTAGATTTAAATGAAAATATGACACTCAATAGGATAGTGGAGAAACAACAAATCTAAAACATCTACTCTCCTAACAGAGTCATCAAATGGTTGTATTTAATGTGTCAAACCATCTAAGGCGACTCTCTCAAATATTGTCTATCACCGGAGCTACTCCAACCCTAGCTACTCCAACCCTTTCATTTTCATAGATATATTCATTTCGTATTTTGTCTTTAAGTGTAAAGCCAGTCATCCACCTGAGCATTCATTTAAATCAGATGGATTTAAATGAAAACAAAAACAATATGTTTCATTCATTCCAAACCATTTTGTAATGGTTATCAAAATATGAACTCTTCTTATAAGAAAACATTGAGAACAAATATAAAATTCCAGCAATGACCAAGATTCTCAATACAGAAGTAATCTAACACTAATCTAACTTGAAAAAATTCAATCACACACACATTAGTTGTTTTATAAGTTATTAGCAATAAAAAATGCTTAACGAATTTATTTCTGACGGCATATGTAACCTTTTCTCTGATGTTAATTCTTCTCGTGGATAAGAATTCTTCTCGTGGATAAGAACACAGAGAACACAGAGAGAGAGAGAGATCAAGAAAAACTTAAATTATGGAGGTCGACTTTAGAGTTTAAACATTTTCGTTTGAATAGATCTAAACTGTATGCATGGAATATAATTTTAGTAGTAATAGATCCATTGGCGGGGTGGTA